TTCGAGAGAATGCTCGCCTTGCAAGAGCAAGGACCTCATGTTCAAAACCAAAATCAGACTGGTAGCATGTATCTGCAATCCTAGGTCTCAGGGAGGCAGAGTTAAGTGGATCCCTGGGGCTCACTGGCCAGCCAGCCTAGCCAAATTAGGAGGTCCAGGCCAGTGAGAGACCACCTCAAAACAGCAGAAACAAATGGTAGGAGACATGTTAAGAACAAGAGTAGCCGGTGTTGGTGGCGCACGCCTTTAATCTCAGCACTCGGGAGGCAGAGGCAGGCGGATCTCTGTGAGTTCAAGGCCAGCCTGGTCTACAGAGCGAGTTCCAGGACAATCAGGGCTGTTACACAGAGAAATGTCGTCTTGAAAAAGCAAAGAACAAGAGTAGGTGGAGCTGAAGAGGTGGCTGGCTCAGTGGTCAAGAGTACTGGCTGTTCTTCTGGGGGACTGGGGTTTGGTCTCCAGCACGCACATAACAGCTCATAGTGGTCTGTAACTCTGGTCCCAGAGGATCCGATACCCTCCACTGGCATACATGTGATGATGCATAGACATACAAACAGAAAAGACACCCATACACACACAATAAATAAGTTTAAAAAATAACTAACAAAAACAGAGTGACAGTAAAGGTTGTCCTGCCTACACACACACACACACACACACACACACACACACACACACACACCAATGAAATAGGTGTGACCTATCTGAGAGAACAATGTAACTTCCTTGATCCTGGTATTAGTTGCTTTCCTCTTTGCTGTGGCAAAACACTCCACCAAGCAACTTCAAGTGTGGTTGGTGATTGATTCCAGTTGTCAACTTGATAAGATCTGGAATTACCTCGATTAGGTTATTCAAGGTGCAAAGACACATACTCTGTGGCTGACATCATTCCCTGGACTGGGATCCTGGACTGGATAAAAAGGGGAAAGACAGCTGATTCCAGCATGCTTTGCTCTGCTCCCTGACTGTGAACACAGTTTTATCTTCTGACCTCTACATGGCTGACTGTATGGGGCATGTAAGCCTGATAAACACTTTCTCCCTTAAGTTGCTTTTGTCAGAGCATTTTACCACAGCAACAGAAAAGTAAGGTCCCTCAGATGGGAAGAAAGGGTTTGTTTTTATTTTTGTCTGTTTTATTCAGTCTAGGATCCCGGGACTGAATGGTGTCACCCACGCTTAGGATATCCCCATGCTTGTCTGGAGGCGTGTCTCCTCTGATCCTGCTGTGTGGGCAGTTAGCATCACCCTTCACACTCTGGCTTCCAAGTGTGTGAACTCTAACCTTCCCTGCAGGACAATGAGCTTCTGTGATTGGCAGGATGGAGAGAGCTTATCGTTTGTCAACCATTACAGCAATTCAGGGGTGGGCCTGGCCTCCTTGGCCTTCCTGGGTCTACTTGTCTCCTGCTGGGGTGGGCTGACTGAGAAGCTCTGTTAGGTCCTTTACCCCACTGGCCTGGTCTCAAACTGCAGAAATAAGCTATGTGTTGAAGTTACAGATCCCTGAAGAGCCAATGGTTTGTTGCTTTATGGAAGAAAGCACAGGGTTAGCAAGCTTGTGGGCTATTCAGATGCCGCTGTGGACTGAACAGTCTAGGGACATGGTGGCATACATCAGTAATTCCAGCTTTTGGGGTTGTCTGGGGCTGGAGGGTCATAACATTTTAAAAAGAGAGAGAGAGTGTGTGTGTGTGTGTGTGTGTGTGTGTGTGTGTGTGTGTGTGTGTGTGGTGTGTATGAGCGCGCGGAGGCCAGAGGTTGACATCAGTATCTTCCTTGTTTGCTACTTACCTTACATTATTCTGAGACAGGGTGTCTCCCTGAGACAGGAGCTGAACAATTCAGCCAAACCGGCTGAACAGCAAATCCCAGGACTGTGCAGTGTCCACACGAGTGCTGGGATCGCAGACAGACACCACCACACTTGACTTTGTCCTGGGTCTTTATCCTTTATCCTTGAATAGCAAACATTTTGCCAATTGAGTTATGTCCCAGCTCTTCTGCTGCTGTTTCTTCTTCTTCTTCTTCTTCTTCTTCTTCTTCTTCTTC